TTTTAATTTTCTATTTCATGTTCCCTGTGATGTTTGTGTGTTTAAGTGAACATATAGTTAGGTAAATTTTAAAATAGTCTCATTTCTAGGATGAGAGGGGAGGAAAGACAGTTGAGCAGAGGTCATTACTCGAAGAATGATAAATAGATATCCAGTAAAGACATGGAAAGATGTTCAATATCCTGAGCCATTAAGGAAATGCAAATCAAAACCACAGTTTGATACCATTTCACACCAACTAGGACGGATAAAATTTAAAAGACAGACAATAACAAGTGTTGATGAAGATGTAGAGAAATTGAAACCCTTATACTTTGTTGGTAGAAATGTGAAATGGTGTACCCACTGTGGAAAATACTTTGGCATTTAAAATCTGTTGTACTATAGCCTACATGTCCTGCTGCCTAATTCTTCAGTAATGTAATAACCTTAAGATTAGTTTTGTTTTTTTTAGCTAGAAGTTTATCTGGTTCTATTTTGCTCACCTTTTAAATCTAATAAACAGTCTTGTTTTTTATTTCTTCATGACTCACCAGAGGTAGCCTCTATGATAAATTTATGTGGCTATGAATAAACTCTTTTAGGACTTAAAACATTTCACTGATATAACTTAGCCATCGTAGCAGGGAATAAGCTTATCCCTCAGTACTAGTCACTTCATTCATTTAATTGTTTATTCAGTCAGTCATAGAATACTTACATGTCCACTCTGAGGCAGGTGGATATAGGGACAGATAAGGATCTTAAAGAACTTGTAGAGTTTGATGGGATAAAAAAGTTGCACAGAAAATTCTATAATGTATATGGTGAAACCCAAAAGAAGTATGGAGGTTCAGAAGAGGAAAAGATTTCTTCTAGGGAAGAAAAGAGACTGTGAGAAGTGGAGAGGGATCTTGGTACAGGAGAAGGCATTTGCTTGGAACCTTTAAAAAACAGGTAAAAGAGCTTTTTGACATTGTGTTGTCTATATTGTTCACTGTTGACAAGTATGTCTTTTCCTTAGCTGGTCTGAAAAATCCTCTGATGGAACATGGTAGATCAATGTACCCATTTGCTGTTCAAGTTACTGCCAAATAATTAAATTTTTCATAAATGCTGGTTTTCTTTTTTTTCATTCCATTTAAAATTGTTTAGTTTGCAGGTTGATAGCACAAAGATTTAAACAATTCACTGCTGAATTTCATCTCATCTACCTTTAAAAAACTATCATTGATGTTAAGTGAGTTGAGATGAATAGTAAGTAACAGTCATGAACTCTTGAAATTTACTGTTACTCATGAGTCATGTTTTTGTACCAAGCCTTTAGAATTAAGTAGTGAGCAAAACAGACATGGTCTTTGCCCTCATGGCATTTACAGTGAAGAACAAATAATTACATTGAGTCTGTTGTGAGAAGTTAGATATAGTAGAGGTTCATTAAATATCAAAGAAAGTTTACATCCAACTAACCTCTGAATTTATATTTCCTTTCAATAGCATATGTGTGTGTGTAAAATCTCCAATTACTTTATGAGGGAATGTCGAAACTAGCATTTACTGAGCTTCCACTCAGCAACAGCACTGTGTATACACTGTATACAAAATATTGGTAGAAATGGCATTGTCAAAAACACACACACAGGACAATCAAAGCAAGACATTAATGGAGAAATAAAAACTTGGGAAGTTTCTCATCTCACCTTTCTTTCTTCTTCTTACAAGATTCTTCTTGATGAATTATCTTCTACTAAACACTGGGCATCCATGCACGTTTCAGACCACAGTGGATTTCACTACCGCCAGTTTTTGCTGAAATCTTTGACTAGCCAAACTGTGAAAGACAATTCTGTGTTGGAGCAAAACCCTTTGAGAAGTGAGCCAGCCCTACTTCTTCCACAAGACGAAGCAGCAGCAGCTTCCACAGAGGAACCAAGGATAAATATTCCCCATCTTCTAGAGGAAGAAGTTGAATTCACCACTGATCTTATTGATTCCTACCCAGGACATGAAACCCTTTGGTGTCATAGGTAAGAGAAGGGAAAATTCATTTCTTTCATGAAGCTGTGTGTGTCCTTATGAGACCTACAGAGGTCTTGCATCTGATGCCTGCCTGCGTGGGTGAACATGTGATCTGCTTGTGGAGCTTTGCCTCAGTGATTTGGAGGAGTCTGTGTAACAATATCCTCCTCACGATCATCATCAATAATCGTTTTCCTTGTGTAGATGTTTGCCTACAGGTTAGCATGGTGGTATTCACCCTTGACTGTACAACAGAATAATATGTTACTTCCAAACTAAAAACAAAAGTTTCTGCACACCTTCCTTGGAGATACTGATATTTAGCATATCTGGGATGCAGCACTGCCATTTTTTTTTTTTAATATAAAGGAAAAAACCCTAACAGGGAAATAGGATATACAGTTAGACCATTCATTAGTCACCGAGACTAGCTAAACTTTGTGCTTCAGACCATTATCTATATCAGTGATGGCGAACCTATGACACGCGTGCCAGAGGTGACACGCGAACTCATTTTTTTGGTTGATTTTTCTTTGTTAAATGCTATTTAAATATATAAAATAAATATCAAAAATATAAGTCTTTGTTTTACTATGGTTGCGAAGATCAAAAAATTTCTATATGTGACACGGCACCAGAGTTAAGTTAGGGTTTTTCAAAATGCTGACACGCCGAGCTCAAAAGGTTCGCCGTCACTGATCTATATAATAAAAGCCTAAGCGACCATTATGGCGGAACAACCAGAATGACTGGTCACTATGATGCACACTGACCACCAGAGAGCAGACACTCAATGCAGGGGCTGCCCACTGGTGGTCAGTGCACTCCCACAGGGGGAGCACCGCTCAGCTAAAGAGCGGGGTCACGGCTGGCAAGCACAGTGGTGGTCGGAGCCTCTCCCACCTCCGTGGCAGTGCTAAGGAGCAGCAAGCCAAGCAGTAAGGAGCGGCAAGCAGGCGGGCGGTAAGGAGCGAGGGGTTCTGGGCTGCCAGAGGGCGCAGGCTTGGCTGAGGGACCCCACCCCAGTGAACGAATGTAGTGCACCGGGCTTCTAGTTAAGTATAATCTTTTTGACACTCTGCCTTTTGTGGTGTGTGTGTGTTTAAGTAAACTATACTGGGTATGTAACATGATTTTAGAAAGTTCTGAGAGAGCGTTGGGAACTTCATAATTTGACTTCGGAGCACATTTGACAGTAAAGTAACTTTATGTTGGAATGAAGTCCAGGTATGGGAATCCATGATTTATTTTGGATCATCTAATTGGAGGCATCTTCATCTTTACAAATGCAAATTCTACTTCAGGTCATAGGATTCTGTTTGTAGACAAAAGACTTGCCTGTGGTAGGTAGGAGATAGGAATTTTAAATGTTTTTATATTTTTAAAGTTAATTGAGATTTGTCTCCTTTTTCCAGTCTAAATATAGTTAGAAGATGGAAGATAATCTCCCCTCTTTGGCACTTACATAAATATAGAATTTTCTTTTCTCTTAAAAACAAAACACTCTTATTTCACATGTTCAAGAGAGAAGACAGATCTTGACTGATGTCACAGATTTTTTTTGTTTCTGTTTTATATTTAGGCATATTAATAACAAGGCTCAGAGAATTTTAAAAATCTATTTATGTTTGAGAGAGCTAGATTAATGGAGCAGAAACTGTCTTTGTTCTTGTAAAGATTAATTGGAGTTAGTTTGGGGTGGGAGTGGGGAGAAAAGATAATTGGGACGGCCTATCTATCTACAAGCTAGTGTTCTACAGATTCATTGCCCCAAGGAAGTTTATCTGTCCTTTAAGTTGTGTCCTCTGTATGGTGGGTATGTGTTCCCTGTTTACTCCAGGATATGCTGGGGAAATGAATAGTATTATCTTTTTAAGGGCTTAGAGTTGCTGATGTGATGATGAGATACCACGACCTGGAACCTATATAGTTTACCATATTGTGTAGAGTAGATGTGCATCCCACTGCGTCAGATTTTTGGAGATTAGGCACATGGATCTTCATTTTCAACAAATAAATCCACATGATTCTAAGAGCAGGAGACCTGCTCTCCTTAGAGTAAGAATAGCAGCTATGTCTTGTAACATACTTCACTCAGAGCCCAGCACATCCCTAATGCATGTGGATTTTTAATGAGATTGAGTGATGTATTTAGGGGAAGCTCACATGGTTTCTACATAAGACCAACTGCAGTAGATTGTTCTTATTAAAAAAGTATTGCCTCTAGAGGAGCTATTTAATCCCTTTGTTTCAGAATCACTTGTCTTTTGGAATATCAACAAGGTTTGTATTTTAATTTATTGCAGAGATTGGGCTAAGACCTAATTTTGGTTTTGTATTACAGTTTACAAAGAATAGAACTTGAAGTGATTGTCATCATCTCAGTTAATGCTATTTAAAAACCTTTCTCACAAACCGGTAATCTGGATTTGTAAGGCTAGTAAAATACCCAGAGACTTCATCATAACTATTATTCCTCCTTTTGTCAGATAAGTCTGGGTTATGAATGGAGCAGTGAACTGAGTACTGTATGTTTTGAAATTATCAACTTAGTTTTTTGTTTTCCTTGAAAAGCTTGACCTTGCGATGTGATCTTTTTTTCTCTATTCCCTCCCACTCCCTCCCTTTTCACAGGAGGCATGTTTTCTACCTTCAGCATTACTTAAGCGGTAGTTTTCCTCACAGTGTGACCCAGTTGTCAACTGCAGACAGCCCTGTAGGGACTTCAAGTGACTTGCACCACATCCCAACAGGCCCTCGCACGGCTCAGGCAATGGAAGTGGATGGATTGAGTGACTCAAGCAAGCAGGGCTATTCCCAGGAAACAAAACGCCTGAAGCGGACCCCAGCTCCTGATTCCGCAGGCCTGGAAATGGAACACAGGTTCATCGATCAAGTATTGTCCACTTGCCGGAATGTAGAGCAGGCCAGGTTTGCCAATGCATATAGGAAATGGCTGGGTACGTTGAGTCAATGAAAAAGCTGGAGTATTCCTGCAAGGTTCCCCTTTTAGTGCAATATTGCTTTCCTTTCTTATTTACATAGCTGCATGAACTGTCTGCTATTATTAGCTAACCATATATTCTTCATCTTTAGGTTAAAAGTCCAAAAAAGACCTTTCATTTTATTTATTTTGTTAAGAACTGGCATTCCTTTGGGGACAAAATAATTGTGTACTTCTTTCCTGCTAAACAGTGAATCTTAATTTTCTTCTTTGAAACTTCTCATCCTTTCTGTTTCTGTACTTGTTTATTTCTAAAAGAAGTCGGTTTCTAGGCTTCTCATTTGGTCCTCCTAGCTGGTTCAACACCTCCACCCACCTCGGTGCAATTGTGGGATAGACTAATTTTTTTTTAATTAAAATGTATGTCGTAGTTAAGCTTAAAAACAATACAAATGCAAAATTACTCAATCTAATTGTTGTTTTGAGAATCAAATGGCCAGATGGATGGTTATGTGAAAATACAAACCATTTCTTTCTCTAACATGTTCTACAAGTTATAGACCAAGATAACCAAAGTCAGAGTGTTGGAACTTATATGAAAAACATGCTTCCAATGTAATCCATTTTTAAAATGGTTATTTTAAAAAATAATAATAATTTTAAGAGTTTATGTAATTGCAGTACTGGAAAATTATTTTTATTACTAGTTTTGATAGATTGTTTTTAACCTCAAATTTGGTATATGCCAAAAACATTTAGATCAATGCTTATAAAAATCAATTTTTTAAAAAATACCTGGAATGCCATTTTTAGTTATTACTACTTATTTTCCTTCCAATTCACCATAAAAATGGGAGAAATATGCATAGAAATGTATCCATAAAAATCTTCCTTTTTAAAAATTTAAGTTATTGAGGATACACTGGATAAACTACAAAATTTTTATGAAATGACTATTAAAAGTTTACTGGCAAAAGCCAGGGAGACAGACTAATTTTGAAGGTTAATTCTTTAATCTTTATTTTAAAAAATAAAATAATTAAAAAACTTTGATACTAAACTTATCAGGGATGAGGTACCAAAGTATCCACCTTATAGCTATATTTTATCTTTTCAATAATAAGGGCTGTTTTTTTCAGGTTGGTTGGGCCGAGGGGGGAGTTTGGGGAGTACCAGGTAATGTCTATTTTCCATTATTATATTTCCCATTCATAAGTGGTCTGTGTTCCTTATTTCCACATACCTTTTTCTTCGTTGTCCCAATTGTTCCTTACTTTTTGTCACTTTCACCTTTGTCTGTTTTTCCTTATCTGTGTTATTTCAGTGACATATTATGAAGATATTCTTCCCTATTTCCAATGAATTCCATACTCCATTAAACACATGCACACATGAAATATTAATATGAACTGCTCCTCTAAAAGTTCCTCTAGTGATGGAGGCTGTCTTGCCCTGTGTATGTAAAGAATGTGAGTCATAGTGGCAGGAACAGTTGTGGCCACCATGCTTTGTCTGTTATCCTTTTTTACTTGCTAGGTCACCCATGGTGCAAAGAGACGATGTTGGGAAAGGAAGACCTCCTATCTCACTGTTATGGAAACTCTGGAATTCAATGAGACATATTACTGTAAGGGAAAAGAGTAAGTCCTGTACTTGTGCATCATGATTGGTTGAGTGGCAAAATGTTGAGACTTAAGAACACTAGAAAAATTGTCCAGCCTGGTTGCTGTAGACAGAAGGTGCTCTTACCTCTTAGGGCAAAATTATCCTTTTGTAGCTTTTACAGTATTTTATTGAAAAAATAATTGTCATTATGAACATAATTCCATGGCCCTTTGTGTACAAGGCATATTTTGAATCAAATACCTCAAGGATAAAACCATTAACTTGTGATCTTCAGCATCTACAGGGATTGAGGGGGAAATTACACAGAGATGACATGGGAGATTCAGCCCATTCCACTGATACATGTTGCCAAATTCTGGCCTCACTCAGTATTATTTTTTTTCTAAGCATCATTTTAAGTATCCCAGCTATTAGGGCTTCTTAATGCTTTGATGTTAGAGTATTCAGGACGTGAATATAGACAAAAACCTTGTGAAACATCAGCTAAATTTTATAGTGCTCCACATTTAAAAAATATATATTTTTATTGATTTCAGAGAAGGGAGAGGAAGAGAGAGATAGAAACATCAATGATGAGAGAGAATCATTGGCTGCCTCCTGCATACCCCCTACTGAGAATCAAGCAATGCAACCTGGGCATGTGCCCTGACCGGGAACTGAACCATGACCTCCTGGTTCTAAGGTTGACATTCAACCACTGAGCCACACTGGCCGGGCCACATTTTTTATACCTTTCACAGAGTATCTTGCTCATCTTGTTAACTGTCTTCATCTGTTTTAAGTCTCTTAACCCACCCCTTTCTGAAGCCATGCAGTCCTTTAATATCTTGGTCTCTCGTCTTCCTAATAAAGTTTTAAGTAGGAGTGAAAATACAAACATTCAGAGGGTACTGTTTGTATGACTTTTGTGTGCTGTTTCTAAAAATTTTATTTTTAAGTGTTCATTCACAGAAAAACCTGGTATTGTCCTATATGGTTGTATTTTTTTTCCTAAATGGTCGACACCTAAACTCACTAGCTGTAGCATAATATCTGTTTGACTGAATGAGCTCATTCAGTGGAAAGAATGTGTCTATTTTTGGGGATTTGTTAGTCTTCACTTACTTTGTATAAATATGTCCTTGTTAAAAGATGGTGTAGGTTGACATACATTTCATCAAACTTTTACTGGATGAATAGTAGGCCGTAGTACATCCTGTGGATCATGTATACTACTGACATGCAAAAAGCAATAAGATTGTCAAGATCTTCATCACCACCACTAACCCACCTTTTTTTTTTTTTTAATATACCTATTTTGATAATATGGTGTTTTCAAATTCTACTTGCACATTGTGAAGGTTTGTTAAATATGTATTCAATTAATGAATGATTAACTGTTTGAAGAGGGGAAAGATTGATCATGAGTGATAGGGTGAGTTATGATTGAGAAATTAATGAATTAAAGCAATGGGCTGTGAATGGATGATATATTCTAGCTTCATGATTCTTCAGTGGAGCAATTGCATGTTGAATAACTTAATTTTATACAGCTGCTTTGTTTATACATCCAAGAAGTATAGTTCTGTAATTACCAATTAATTGTACTTTAATACATACTAAAAAATCATAGGACTAATGAAGCCTGCTTGCATTAAGAACACTATTTTCTGTTATGATGTTGCAGAAAAATCTTAACCAGTACAGCCAGAGCCACTGAGGGGCATCTGAAGAAATTCTCTAATTTTAAAGACTTGTTGATCTGTACCAGTGAGTGGATAGTCATTTTGTACTTCTCCTTTCCCCCTCCCAAACTTGAACTGTGGACCTTTTAGATATTTCTTAAACCTCTGTAAGTCATTTTTTAAATTTAAGGATTTGATACTTCGTGTTCCCTTTTTCTTTTCTAGGTTTTAGCATTTTATTACCTTTTTGGAAACTATGGACACAGACTTTCAGTCATATTTCTTATTCTTATGGTACGGTTCTGATTTTAATGTAAAGGCTTCATGATTAATAGGACTAAATGTATACAGAATGTCACTAAAAGCCACTTAAATTTTCAGATAAGGGCTTATGTAACAAGATGTGGAAACACAAGTTCTTGGATTTGTATGTGGCATTTTGTAGGAAAGCATATATGGGGGTAGACCGTGTTTCATTTAGTAGATATATTCAGGTCATATCAGCTCATGCTTGTTGAGCCACACACACTGAGAGAGAGAGAGAGAGAGAGAGAGAGAGAGAGAGAGAGAGAGAGTGTGTGTGTGTGTGTGTGTGTGTGTAAAGAGAACTTTTAATATTGTTGAGAACAAGTTATCAGTCTAGTAATTTTATATAGCACAGATGGTATCTGACACAGGCGCTAAGTACAATTTGGGAGTGCAACTACCACTTGTACAATAATCTGTCTCAACCTCAGTTCCCTGAATTACAAAAGATGCTAAAGATTCAGTTAACAAAGGAAGTAACATATAATCTTTTTTTCCCATAAAGCTTTTGTAAGCTTATAGTTATTTTCTTACTAGAAAATTGTATTTTAAAACTTAAATATTTAAATTATGCTAGAAAATTTGAACAGCATTGTAACAACTGACCTTTTTGTCTTCTGAATAAATTTCTCAAATAGAACCATTGCAAATGCTGTCACTTTACAGACGGGCCGCTGCTTCCCGTGCTTGGGTGAACTCTGCCCCGGGCTCCTGTTTAATGAAGTGCATTGAGGCCCAGGGATCTTAGGCAAATTCAGTGTGATGAAGGCAGTAAGCAGGAAAGATCAGCCCTGAGAATTCTACTTAATGTCACACAGTGTCTTTTAAAAAATAACGATACATACTGTGTTAATCCGAGTGCCTTTCTTACTTTTGTGGGGAGCAAGATTATATTTAAGGCTAATGTTTAGGTAGAAAACAGAGAACAGAAGTTTTGTCAAACTGTTGATTGTGACTCATTCCAATTGCTAGGCATGGTTCCCATGGAGTATTTTATCTAATGAGATACTGATATGAGCAGATGTTATGATTTCGTTTGCATTTCATTAGTTACCATGTTTAAGCACCCTACCAAGAAGAATCATTCTTCTGGGGGGGTTGAAGGCATCACATTTAAAGTATGGTATGTGCATAATGAAACATCAGCCTGGAAACCACACAGCCTGTGTTCAAGGGGAAACTGGCTCCCTCCGCTGAAAGAAATGCAATATGATTGTCCTAAATGAATCTTTGGCCTCACTTTAAGAACTTTTAAGAATTACCCTCCAAATCCAGGCCTATGTTAAGATAGTTGAAAGGAAAATGAATGGGAACTTTATCCTTTCAGATATCAGAGGAAAAGAAGCAAATACTGAGATGAAATTTCAATTGTGGCATTTTATGTACTTTGGGTATGGAAAGGGGAGGGATGGGAATTCCATATTTCAAAATAGCAAATAATTTTTAATTGTAGTTTTATAAAAATAGATAGCTAAGGATTCCAAAGTGCTTTTCAGAGGACTGTTGAATAACATATTCCATTAATATCTGTCATGTTCATAGTTGAGACAGAAAACCATTGTGTCTGTTGGGATCTGTGGTCAGGGAAGCCTTTGGCTCCCAACTTTCCAGGCCATGTTAACGCTGTAAAACCAAACTCTTTGCTAGGAAAAACAAGAGAGAGAGAGAAAGCAGCAGCTTCGTCTGCTCATGAAACCTTGTGCTTCCAAGAATATTCGCTATATATATATATATATAGTTTGTGCTTTGGGGCAATAATATGGTCCACAAAACTAACCCTGGCATTTTTTTTAATTAGTCTATTATTATTCCTC